GCCCACAACAATCCCCAGCAGCGCCACACGCTTGGGGAGGAGTGGCTGGAGAGCTGCCAGGCAGAGAGGGACCTGGGGGTGTTGATGGACAGCAGGCTGAGCATGACCCAGCAGTGTGCCTGGGTGGCCAAGAAGGCCAAGGGCATCCTGGCCTGTGTCAGGAATGGTGTCAGCAGGAGCAGGGAGGTGATCATTCCCCTCTACTCAGCTTTGATGAGGCCTCATCTTGAGTACTGTGTCCAGTTTTAGGCCCCTCACTACAAGAGGGACATCAAGATGCTGAAGAGGGTACAGAGGTGGGCTGCCAAGCTGGTAAAGGATTTGGAACATATGTCCTATGAGCAATGGCTGAGGGATCTGGGGCTGTTTAGCGTGTAGAAGAGAAGATTGAGGGGAAGACATCGCTCTCTAAAATTACTTGACAGGAGATTGTAGAGTTTGGGGTTGGTCTGTTCTCCCTAGTGGCAAGTGATAGGACAAGGGCAAATGGCCTTAAGTAGTACCAGGGGAGGTTCAGGTTGGATATTAGGAAGAATTTCTTTGCTGAAAGGGTTGACAGCCATTGTAACAGGCTGCCCAGGGAGGTGACTGAGTCATTATCCTTTGAGGTGTTTAAGAGACAGGTGGATGTTGTGCTGAGGGACATGGTTTAGTGGGTTGATAGGGCTGGGACAAAGGTTGGACTCGATGATCTTGAAGGTCTCTTCCAACCGAAACTGTTCTGTAATTCTATAATTCTATGATTCTATGATTCCATGATTCTATGATTCTATATTTTAATTGACTTATTAATTGTTAATAAAAGTTTGCTTAGCCAAATTTCTGATATCAAAGTGACTACATAAATCACTGTCTCTATTGTTTTACATTTGAACTTTTAAATATACTATTTTTCTTTTTTTTTAGGGCCTGAAGGAGCACTTTTTGAACACTCTGTAGAAACACCACTTGTAAAGGCAGAAGCTTTTAAACAGCTTAGGTAAGAATTTATATATAAAAATCTAAATCTAATAAGTAAACATTGTTGCTATAGATATTCACATTTTTCTAAATGTACTATTTTCAATAGCATTTAGAGAACTACTAATACTTTTTTACTGTTTTACATGACAAATTATTATTTTGAAGGAAAATTATACGTTTTTCTCTAAATGTATTGCTCTCAAATATATTATGAGTTATTGCTAATGGTGAATATTTAAAGCTACATAATATACTGTGGGAGAATTTTTCTGTAAACTTCTATTTTTCAGTTTTGAAACACCTAACTGACTTTTTCTACTATGTTAGCTGCTTGTTTGCAGCAGGTCATCGATCCATAATGAGTCAGGATTCTTAGAATTTAGTATTAATCTGAGGAAAACAGATTAATAAGAAGAAAATCAGAGATGTGCAAAGCTTTGTATGACTGAAGAGCAGTTTGGAGTGAGAAAATCATTATGAAGTACCTTCTATATTTCAGAGCTTCTTAATTCTGAGATAGCATTTCTTATGTGCATTACTCTATGTAATTCGGAGTATCCCAAATTTTTCTCTATTATGTTGGTTTTGATGAGGTAAGAAACTAAAATGACGTTCTGTTCACGAACAATGTGTTTCATTTTATAAGCCAGTTCAAAGAAAGATTTGAAATGAAAGGAGATCTCTTTAGCAATTATATTACTACTTTCTGTCATAATTCTTCAGTGTTTCTTCTCCAGTTAGGGTAACTATTAGAGACTAGTACAAGATTATTAAAGCTTTCAGGAACTCTATCTGAATCTTGGTGACCGGATTTTTAAACTGAAAATGACAAATGAGAAGGACACAATTAAGATAGATACCTTTAATTTTCGCCCTGATATGTAAGATACATTGTGCTTGTATTTAAAGACAGAATGAGCTCAAGACTTTTATTTTTACATGTTGATGACCACCTTCAAAAATGTGTTACCCTGGTGACAGATTTGACCAGTGTGTAGGATCCTGCATTATAGCGAAGGGCAGGTCCTGTTTAACAAACTTGATCTTCTATGACATGGTGACCTGCTGGTTGGATGAGGGAAAGGCTGTGGATGTTACCTACCTTGAATTTAGTAAGGCATTCGACACTGTTGCCCATGGCATTCTCCTGGAGAAATTGCCTGCTCTTGGCTTGGATGGTCAGTGTCTGCTTTTATTGGGAGTGAATTCCCTGTGCTGTAAATTTGTCATACCCTATGATTATCTCAGTTTTGATAATGTAGAACATAGAATTTTATAATTAAAAAATCAAGAAGCTGTCTGCAGATTTTAATTCATTTATTTTCTGTAGTTTTTACTTTTCTTCAAATGCATCATCAGTTAATATTTTAATAGGCTTAAAGCTAATAGTTTTATCCTACATCCATTGTATTATGTTACATTTTAAGTTCTCTTCTGCACTTCATTTAACAACAATCACACTGTTTCAGACTATTTATTACTATTGTTGTTATAAATTTTTCACCTGTTTTTGAAAAAGAGTATCTGAAGGAAAGTACTGAGATTAATTCAAAGTGTTCGTAAAGTTCTCCTGCATGGATGAGTTTACACATGGCTTGTCTTTTTAGTGATTTTTACCATGTCAACTAACACATGTTTTGATCTAGTATGTTGCTATGTGTTAGCAGAGCTCAAGTGTAATAGGTGAAAACCCATTCACTTCTGTCTTCAGTTAACTTAAAACAGTGTGAAATATAGATTTTTCCACTATTTACAGATTTTTCTACTATTTACTATTACAATGTCAGGGAAGTACCTACATGACCACATCATCACTGACACTTTTGACTAATACTAGTATTTGACATAAATCCAGAGCTGCTGAACACTGGTGCTAGAAACTGAGTTAGCTTAACTTTAAGAAAAATGATGACTATCAGGGCATGAAGCTGTGCAGTGTATACACCACTTACTCATGTCCTGCCAGGCCCTTACTCAGAGCAGTTCAAAATGCCTTATTCCTTTGATTATTTTTTTTTTCTTTTTCCATCTTTACCGCCCATAATCAATGTCAAGCCTCAAAGCAGAGATAACAATGATTCCATGGAGAGCTCCTGGGGAGGATCAGGAAGCAAATGCATTTGTCCGCAGTGCAGATGCAAAGTGAAGATGTAGGAAGAGAAGACAAATTTACAAAGTTTATGGTTGAAAAAGAGTACTTTCAAGGGTAATCTTAAATGTCATTGTAAACAAAATTCATACATTCTGTTGTGAAGGAGCTCAGACAAGTTTACCAATGAATGGCTATTTGGTAATGCTTTATAAATATTCTTTTTCATTCCACACTGTTAAATATAGGGATCTACCTACGGAATAGCACAATAATATGAAAATTTAAAATGCAATTTTAAGTATCACTTTTCTATTTTAAATTCAAATATGCTGTCTTTTCAGATTAAGGTAGTGAGCACCAAGTTACAGACAATATAACCTATTTGCTCACCTCAAGCCTTATCTCCACACTCACCATCTATTAATCATCTGCTGCTTTTTCCTTTATTTTTCTTTCAGTGGTTGTGCTGTGCCATATGAAAGTGATATGCTGGACAAGTGTAACATAAAGTACCACAGTAAGCAGCATTAAATATAGGGCATAATGCTTCATGAAAATGCATCCACCTCAAATGCAGTTGCATGTTTCAAGGAGCTGACTGGAAAGCTGTTAATGCTCATAACTTCTCAGCTTGTGTCATATGAACAGAGGCCACATTCATTCTCTGTAATTCAGATTTAAGGCAAGATCACAAAACAGGCTGACACAAATGGCCTTCTGAATTACACATGCTGCTGACTTTCCTGTCTTTTCTGGAAACAAAGAGTTAAGTGTGTTAGAGCATATCTTTTTATAGCTAAGTAATGGAGACAGAGCAATGCAATTATACTGTGGTCAGTAGCTTTCTTTTCATTCCATAATTTGAAGGAAACATAGAGTCCTTTTCAGTCTAATAGATTGAATTCATGACTCACCCGTAAAGAAAAGGAGACGTTCTTACACTTACTTCTGTTAGGAAGAATTATAACAACAAAATCTAGATTTCAAAGCTGAAGCTTGCCTAGGTTTAAAAATAACATTATCTACTTTTTATTTCCTTTCCTGGAGTTCTTATATCTAAATAAGATGCCTGGTTTCCATTTACAGAATTTGTTAAGACTTTAGGACCTAGGGAACACCTAAAAGCAGGGTCTCATGTGTAGCAAGCGTACAAGCATCTCAGTGGCATGTTTACAATCAGAAGATTTGGATATATCCAGAAAATATCCTCCCCAGACAAACACCCCTGAGGAGGTACCTGGTTAAAATTTGCAGTTGTAATTAGTGAGAACAGAACCATGTCTGGACTCCTGCTTCTCTCAAAATTTGGTTGCCTGATATAATCAAGTGCCTACACAGCTTCCAGGTGCAGGAGTGCTCCACTGCCAGTAAGTGCCTGTCTACTTGGGTCACATCATCTCTCCTTTGGGTGAACCTGTTCACTTATGATCCACAGGATAGCAAGCACACAAAAGCACAAGTTGTTCTCGTGTTTAGAAAATTTAGCCAAGAGTAAGAAGAGACCTAGAGGTTCAGTTGTGATTTAAAAAGTAATCCTGGAAGAAGAACCAGATGGATGTTTTGACCTGCAGGTCGTCTCCTCATTTGCTCTGTTTCTTGCTGGATTACTTGGTTGTGCAAAGACTGGCATTCAACACAGGGATTGCTCTTTACTCCCACCAAATTATTTTGTAGTCAGGTAAATGGAAGCAATGGATAGAGGTGTCATTCCCCTCAAGATGTGGAGGAAATTGAACTTACGCTTAATAATTCCTTGCTAAGTAGCAAAATCAATTTTAATAAATGCAATATAACATTATACGTGCTATAGTATATACTTCATATATAATTTAGAATATTATAAAAGTAGAAATTGTTACCTCTTCCATGGTTCTCCATGAAAGTGTCCAGAGCCCTTCTACTTTGGTGTGTATTTGGCACGTTGAGAACTTGTCTCAATCAGGTCTCCTGGAACTTCCGTAGAATTTATCTGTCACCTCTTAACTGGATCACAGAAAATTTTTAATGGAAAATATGTGCCTTGCTTTCCAAAAGAAGGAATTTAAACAATTACAGAAGCTCGTGTTCAAACATGTATCTTGTGACCCAAGTGTAGGTTGGAAATCTGTAACAGCAACTAGTGGAACTAGATGTTATAGACAGAGACATTTACAGAAATTCCCTAAAAGCCAGCTTCTCCCCAGCCTCCATGTGAGGTACTACAAGTAGCCTGTTCTGATATTATTCAGTTTCATGCCAGCACACGTACCCTTTTATATCTCCAGTTATCAAATAACAATCTCTGTGTGAAAACTAGTGTCTCAGTTTAGACATTTTTCCAGTCTGATGCTAACATATGTTTCTGATAATTTATAGCACTTAGAATATTGTTTAGCATATTGGTCTATTCTTCCTATATTTTATATCCTTGAATAACATATAGTTCATACATAGTTTTGTCATTTTGATGCTGTTCACTTGTGAGCTGCATGGCTTGTGGCTTTCTAAGGCAAAAGTCTTTAACTCTCAAAACAATATTTCTTAACTGAGTATTCGCATTTCCCAAATTTATGGAAATGTGCTTACAAAAGTGACATCTTTCCCATTTATTATCTAACCATAAACTATGCATAATTAATATAATGCTTACGAATTAGTATTAGCCTTTTTCTCCTATTTGCTGCATATGGATGTCTTACAGCCAGCAACTGTGCCTTCTGAGCATAGATCCTGTGGGAAATCACTTTTAGTGCAGTTTGTGGTATTTTGCCAGTTCTTCAACTGAGGGTTTACATCCAAGCACAAAAGTGACCCACATCATTCCACCCATCTTGGATTTCAAAAGCACTATAGCATTTTTTTGTCACTGTTCCAGAGAGTCAATTTTTGTCAGACTATGACTATAAATATATATATAATTGTATCCAAATATGGATATATTTAAA